GCTGAAGAGTGCGTTGGCCGCACGTTTGGGCGGCCACGCGCCTGGAAATTCTACTGCAAATCCCGACAAAGTCCTCCGATAGATCAGTCAAGTAAGCTGCAGGGGAAATTACTGCAGGTGCCCCAGTTCGAAGGATCGCTGTAATTCGAAGCCCCACATGCCGGTACATGTGCAAAGCAGGCTCCAAGTGGAACACAAATTTGCCGAGCTCGTGAAACTCTCACGCCAGGAAAGTGTAGCTCAGACAAAACAGCTCGACCGAAACAGCAGCTGATTGCCCCAGACTTCTGTTCAGCCACAGCCCATTCTTGTGGATAATCTGGAAGAAACGCAGAAGGCTGCAGCATGCATCTTCCATTGCTCTGAAGATATGCCCCTTCTCTGGGTCACTCAAAAACGTGACCCCTGAACGCCCAGTCTCGTCCGGCTTCACAGGCCCCTGTCGCAACAGTCGCAGCAGCCATCGTGCCAGCATCAGAGAATCGGCAGCCTTCCAGCCTTCATTCGACAAGAAAGCACAGTTAGCAACAATGGATTGTTTGAACTACGTGTATAAAGCAAAAAACGAATTTCCGTCACGATGACAATAACAATCATAAACACTGCAAGGTTCCTCCATAAGGGAAGCTCGTCCGGCGGGGCCAGTGAAAACCCTCTTTCGAGAACAACTTCAAACTCGGTGTCTGTCGGATTTCGTGTTTGCAGCACCACACAAAGTCGTTGTGCGAGAGCTCCAAAAGATTAGCCATGCTGGCAGCACTGCCCGGAAAAATGTCCCAATCGCCCAATGCCACCACACATGAAGCGATGAAATGCCGGGCAACCCCCAGCTTCACCAAATGCATGCAGTCCGACCTGAATACCTTTTCCGGCGCCTGCAAGCTAAAAGGTATGGGAAGTACGCACGATGGCTTTCGATCCGTCCAGGGCCGTTCTTGGTAAAACGTTCCATGCCAGCTTGCCGAATCTCCCATATCCTCCCACGCGTGGCCAGGCTTGCCGGCCAGACAGAGGTGGCAAATCCCTTTCTGTCCAATGATTCGCAGGAAGCTTCTGTTGAAATTGCCGATCTTGTTGAGGGCAGGTGCATCTCCCTTTACACCTATGAGAATGGGGAACCAGGTCTCCCCATTCTGATCTGTGATTCCTGAAGTGAACAGCGCCGTCAAATCTTTCACAGGAGCATTGAATGTATCGTACCAGAACTGTTTTTGTTTCTTCTTGTAGGCTCCATGAGGCAGAACATATAGCAAAAGCCGAGAAGTTAGCGACGAACCACGTCCAGTGTGATCTGATGCCTCCAAGAAAGTTTGGGTGTTCCAGCCACGAGTTTCTGCAAGTTTCTCACAAGCAGCAAACGTGTTTAAACCCCACAATGTCTCAAGGGCCACGACCTGTATGGGGGCTTTCCGCAATCCACGTCCTTCGTCCGCATAGATACAAAAGGGAAAACATCGGTTGAGCCGATCACCATGAACTTGGAATACCTGATGATCCCCATCCTCGTACCTGTAACATTCCCAGAAGCTTTGCAGGAAGCCGCCTAAAGCGAAATGGTTTCGGTCAAAGCCCCCGAATAAAATCGAAGGCTTTCTGCAAAGGTAGAACTCCAGGATTTTGGAAGGCAGGCACATTGGAGCGAAAAGAATACCCTTGCCAAAAAGGTATACATCTATGGGAAGGGCCATACCCCACTCTCGGATGATTCGGTGCAGTCCAGACTCAGCGTGTGGCAGGGACAGAATAGACAATTGCCGGATCCCTCGCAAGAGCAGCGGCTGCTCTTCTTCTAGAGCTTTGGCAAAGCTCACCACACTGGCTGCAGGGTCCTTATCTTGTGGGGGTTTTCACTTAAGGGGAATTAACTTCTCGAAACTTGCACAAAACTTTTGGACAAGCTGCTCCCATCGCCAGAGCTTTCACGAGCTTGCGAGCACTTGGCCCCGGTTTCGGTCCTGCGAAAGGGCATTCAAATGCCCAGAGCAACGCTAATCGAAACACCCGTGCCCCAGCATGCATGCCTGCGTGCACGCACATCCTTTTTCACCTTTCCATCGCCCCGGCATCGGACAGGTTCACACTACACAGCATGAAAGACCGCCCACGGTCCCTCCTAAGCTGCCTGCTTTCCCGTCTGAAACTTGGCGACTTTTCTAAGCGTGCTGCTTCCCGGCGACCCTGCGCTCGGGAGCAGCTTTGGGTTCGGACTTCGGCTGGGCCGACTGCTTCGGCACAGCCTTCGCTTTTGCATCCGTCTGCGCTTTGCGCTTGGGTGCCGCTGCTTTAGCCCGCTGCTCAAGACTCACACTTTCAAGGGCCCTCGGATGTATAGGAGTACACATGGTGAACGTACAGTCAGCTAGGCTTGGACAGTATGTGCAGCTATATGCTTAACGTTCGAAGCAGCACACGGCAAAATCGTTGATGCAACCACGTTGCGCGCGCTTGGCCTTCTTGTACGTGTCCTTCAGGGTCTGCAGCCTCAGAACACACGTGTCTCGAGTTGTATGTCTTTTGTGTATGCAAAACCATGTGCATACTGTACAAGTACTGAGCACACCGTCACAGCACCAGAAGCTTGTGAACATGATACGGACATGAGTTTAACATTGATCCCACTCTATTATGTAACAAGCTTTGCCTAGCAACCTTGCAGGTGTGAATCCGTCCACTGCACCATCGCAGTAGGTCTCGTCGATCATGTCGTGGCACTCATCAAAGGTTTTGATGGAAGCATTCAGCTTATCGATCAGCCTCGGCTCCAAAACATCAGGCGGGGCTTCCAGGCTTGATTGAAGTGCTCAGTATCTATAAGAGGTTTTCTGGAGAGACTTTATCTGTGGTCGTCGGGTAATCTTTACACGTCTTTGGAATTTGCATAGGGCTTTAAATTGTTATAGGGTCATATATAGGCTTCGGGATCAACACATAACATGCAGGCCTTGAGTCTTCGTGCTAGAGCCACACATGCACATACATATAAGATCTACACAAGTCGGTCGTAGATTGATGTTAATCGAAAGGGTTTCTCATACGGTTTATAGATGACTTTAAACTAGGAGCTCCGGGTTTTGGGGTCAACACACACAGCGTGCAGGCTTTGAGTCTTTTGGGGGGTTTTTTGGTGGTTGGGTTACAAGATGTTCTATCGGAGGCTCAGGGTTTGGGATCAGCATTCTGGTGAACATCTGCACCTAATCAGGGGATTGGTGTATCGAAAAGGGCTTATTCGAATCTAATTTAGATGCCTTTAAACTTGGCGCTCAGGGTTCGGGATCAACATACACGGCGTGAAGGCTTTGAGTCTTCGTGGAGTGTTGCAATCGGCACATCTGGAGCGTTCGGCTTAGAAGATTTTCCATTGGAGGCTCCGGGTTTGGGATCAGCTTGGCGATCTGGCGAAAACGGCACCTAGTCTGTGGGTTGGTGTTTATCGGGAAGGGTTTTATGTCGGATATGAGCTATAGATCATTGACTTTAAAACTGGAGCTCAGGGTTTGGGGTTAATATATATGGTGTGAAGGCTTCGAGTCTGCTCGGCTTACAAGATTTTCGAGTGGAGGCTCCGGGTTTGGGATCAGCTTAGCAATCTAGTGAAAACGCACCTAATCTGTGGGTTGATCTTCAACTAAGGCGTTCGGGTTTCTATTCGGGGAGCCTATAGGTGAATGTCTAGCTAGAGGAACTATATGTAATACACAATACATTCAAAAACCCACTATTCTGCAAACAAGGCAGTGCACGTAGCGACGGATCCAGGGCGAGGGTTTTCGGGGTGGGCTTCCAAACGTCCCAAAGCTTCGGCGACCTTGAGGGAGCGGTTCTGGATAGCCTTCCTGTAGACATCGGCAACATCCTGCGGGCGCTTGCCTTCGAGCGAAGGCAGCCCAAGATCATCTTCGGAGCTCGCAGCTCCTTAGGAATAGGCATAAGCAGACCTATAGGAATTAATTTGCTGATGCAACCCCGGGAATTCCTGTATTGCTATGCGTCCTCCACCAACAAGCTGTTGGTCACCAATGGAAGCATCGAATCCCGAGAGATCGAAGGCAACGTCCCTGCCCACGGCCACCTCATCACCCTCGATGGCCAGCTCCTGCTCGAAAGCCACGGTCTCAGACTGGCGAAGAAGCTGAGACTGCTTCATTGATGCTGTGCATTTGGTTTCGTACCAATACTTGAACGGCTTCTTCTTGTTGTACGTGTCGGCCTGGGATGAAGTAAGAATAGTTGTTTTTTTTTTTTGGGGGGGGGGTTGTTGAAGCTCGCTCGAAATCTGAATCTAAACCATCCATTGCGTGCTACATAAAATGAGTAGCTTTGCAGCTTCGGAACACGACGGAAGCTGTTGGGGTTGGCGTCCCCGAAGGCAATGATCTCACGGATACGTTCCCTGAGATTCTCGAGCATGTGTAGTCAAGTCTTTCTGATAAAAAGCAACAGCCAGCTCTAATGATTTGACAACAAGTGGCTCGGGCACTTTCATGTCCCTCAATTCCTGCTCCGTGTAGGAATCCCCGGAAATCTCCAGGGAGACTGCCTTCTCCTTCTCAGTCAACACAACGACCTCCTTCACGAAGCTGTCCTGTACATACAGTCGGTTCCATGTGTCAGTCGGTTTAAACACAAGGACCGGTAATCACCAGTAAGTATAAGTAGTAAGCATACTCGAGCATGATAGTTTGTTTGGATGATGACAATCCTTGTTGAAGTTGTTTTTGATAAGCAACTTGAGAAGCTTCTCTCTCTCGTTGCCTTCGGCCGTATACTTTTCGCGCACTTCTGCCGGTACAGCGAGAGAGCCGTTGGATCGTGGGGCACACATTCGCCTGAGTCTCTGCCTCGCCGCTGCAAGGCCAACGACATCTGCGCCCTCGCTCGGCTCCTCGGTGGAAGCTTGGCCCGTAGCAGCAATCTGCAAGGCTTCCTGCGCAGCTTCACGAGCAGCAGCACGAGCAGCCTCACGTGTAGCCTCCCGCTCAGCCTCACGTGCAAACTGACTCTGGGGGTCTTTCTCAGCAAAAAGCTTGGCATTCATCATGAAGACCATTTGCTTCAGCTGGGCGATTTCGGCATCCTTAGACGAGGTCTCGGAAGAGCCACCTGTGACTCCTCTGAGTTCTTGCTCAACCCTAAGGCTTCAAACTGCTTCTCGAGCGACACTAGCCCTGGGGTCTCGTCTGAGTCCAACTTTGAACCCGACGTACCCGAACCCTCCAAAGGAGCAGCAAGCTGCCCAGGATTCGTCGCAACTGGAGGCGATGCAACCTGGGATCGCGCGTGGGCTTGGATGCTCATTACACAGCGACTCGGCATTGGTTTAGTTCATGAAAAGCCATTTAAGTTCACTCGGGTGGCCTGACAGTCCCCATAGGGGTCCATCACGGTCGGTGGGCAGGGAGAGCATGGGGACTCCATGACCAGAGTGTCCAGGAAGTTGATGTTTCGCTGAGGGGTCTTTCCGGGCTGGGTTTCGGCATCTGCCACAGGATCATAAGGAGTCTTCGAGGGAGTCTTCGAGGGAGTCTTCGATGGAGTCGACTCCGGTTGCCTGTAAGGACTTAGGAACAGCTCCGTCGGCTTTGCAGGCGAAACAACCATGTCATATGCATCCTCTAGGATAGGGGCCATCTGGTGCTCTGTACCTGGGCCTGGGGAGGGGCTGCCAAGCTGATCCTTGAGGGCTACAAGCAGCACTTGGTCATTCTCCAACAGCACACAATCCGAGTCGTCGGGTTCCACCTCTGGCCTTTGCTTTTTAAGCGTCGCCTGAGGTGAGGGAGTGGCCCCAACCACCGGTGTGCACCTCGTGCCACGCTTTGCATTGAACTCCTCGCGTTCGATTTCAGCCTCGAGAGCCTGTCAATTCTTTTTGGGTTACATAGTCTGCACGGTTTTTGATTAGGGACAATTAAGTTCGGGTCGGGGTTGTGTCGGGGAAGAATAGAAACTTCTGGAACCTATTCTAAGAGCGGCCGGTTTGGTTTTTTGAAGTGACGAGAGTTTATAGCACGGAAGCCACCTGTATAAACCTTAGACTCGGCTCTATATATATATATATATATAGACACCAAACCCTACACCAAAACCCTTAACACTATATAATGCTATGACATCGGGGTTTTGCTGGGCGGTCCTCCAGAATATCTTGTGGCTCATAAGACACGTCAATAGCAGGGAAGCCACGACCTCTAGAGGTTCCACACGATTCCTAAATGTCCTATAGATCCTACACACCAGACCCTATACACAACCTACATAAGCGAAAACAGCCAACACTATCAAACCTGGGTTTTGTCTCGAAGCCCTTTAGAGTGCTGGGTCATATTTGTATTTACATACCTGGCGTGTTTTACACGCACTGTACATATTATGTAACTTGTATAGACTGTAAGTAACCAGTGTGTCCAGGGAGCCAGGGCCTGTTAGAGGTTTATATAAGTTGTCGTAAGAAACATGACAGGGGTTATATAGGTATAGTTGTAACTCAATGAGCAACCACATATAGCTTTAAAGAATCCTGTGCATAAGTTTCAGACCGAACCACAACATCCGAAGCCCCAATAATCCCAAAGCCTGAACCCTGGAAACCCGACAACACTCTGAGACTCACTGGACTCGGCAGCGATCTTGAAGATACCGAAGGAACCAAACATAAACCCTTCAATCTCCCCACCTTGATGTCAGCATCAATCTGCTCCTCCTTGACCTGCTGCCGGTCCACCGAGGAAAGAGCTTCCTGCAAAGTGGCCGTGCTGAAAGCCTTCGATACAAGGTGCCTCGTCTGAGACGTGCTGGCCTCTGCCGACATGATCAGACAAGTCTAGCAAGCACCCTAAAACAGCTGGCTGGGCACTAGAGAACCTTGGTGAGCCCCATGAAATATGAGGCTCCAGGAATGACTCAACAGTTGCGTGTGCACAACCCAAGGCTTCTGCATACATGGCAAGCTGACACAGCTGGCTGGTTTCATGCTGGATTCGGTGCAGGGATCATCCATGCATCACTCAGAAGCCCAAATCAGCACTAAGTAGCACCGTGGGCAAAAGAATTACCGAGGCCTCCTGCGCATTCACGGATGAAGCCAACTAGAAGCAGGGATTGCAAAGTCGTCATGCATCAGGACTCCTGTCATATCTTTACATCGTGCAACTTACAGACTTCAGCAGGCCACGAACCCGGTGTGAGCAGGCACACACCGGTAACTGTAAGTGAAACCGTTGCTAGCGTTCCACCAAATACACTTCGCCACAACTAGGACGGCTAGGACTAGGAATATGTAACTATAAGGTTTGTAATTTTCATCAACACCCCGGGAGATACACTATATTTCCGAGCATTAATCACAACACCAAGAAATCAGCTATGTCCTTCTGGCCAATGCATTCTTCGGTGGAACAAGGCAACGGTAAACCACATATGCAAAATAGGGCCCAGCTCCTGAAAGATCAACCCCTTCCCCTCCCCTTCTAATGTTCATATTACCCGGACTGCCCTGATAACGGCGGATGAGGGCGGCTTCCACGAATCCTATGGCGACTGGATCACCGAGAGCTACCAAGACCTTCATTTCTGACCAGGCATGGGCGGTCTCTTTGGCATATCCAATCTGCCAGCGTTCGACTGGGTTGCGAGTGATGCCTATCTTGTATACAGCAGGGTATTTGGCAAATACGGAGTTTATGGTGATCTCGCAGTGGTCCAAGATAGCAGAGGGTACGGTAGCTCCACATAGCTCGAAGACCACACGGTTCTCGGCAAAGGACGTGCTTTGAAGAGATGGGATTACATCAGACAGCATTCTAGGCAGTTCTGTAATCGTCTGAGGCAGCAAGGAAAGCCAGTGCCATGGGTCATGATGTTGTTTTCGGGACATGGCTGGCTTCTTCACTGTGAGCTCATTGGCAGGCACTGTAGGAAGGGATGTAACTTTCAGTCGGACATGCAGGTCTTGGGCTAGGGCACGTAGGCTTTCAATCTCCTCTTGTAGAGCCCTTATCTTCATATCCTTGCCACAGCAACAAGCAGCCGGCTGCGAGGCATGCCATTCCTCGAAGGTGACCACTTCGTCGGTCTCCCAGAGACACGAACCCAAGCTCCGAAGTCGTTTTGCCATGGTGTACACCCTTGCTAGTCATCTAGGGAGGGACATTCATAAGAGATATCGGGATACATCTCCATCCATATAGGCTGCAACATAGTTTTCCCAATTCTGCTAGCGGGTTGCACAAATCTAATTTGATTAATGTTTGTGGCTTCTTCAGGATACCTAGCACAGTCCGGAGGTGTGTATAAAAGGCTACTGATCCCTGGAGCACGACACAACAGTTGCATTCATGACTTGAAGCAGCAGGCGGGATGCTTACTAGACTGCCTACAGAAATGACTCATCTTTGTCGAAGCAAAGCACGGTTATATTGGGGGGTTTACCAGGACAAAACATGGGGACACGCAGAATGGGCTAAGGAGTGCTGTGGGGAGTGTAAGGGTGGCGTACCGAGCATTTGGGCGTGTACGGGCGCGTACGGGCGCGTACGGCCGATCACAGCGTACGCTTATTTACGGCCTTTTGTCGGGAGAATCCGGCCTTTGTACGGGTACGGGTGTGTACGGGTTGTTGCGTCGACACTACGTGTGTGTACGCTTGTAGTCTCCGGGGGTGAAGCCCAGCCAAACCGAAGGGAAACGAGCAGAACCGAACACGGCCGAAGTCAACTCCACCCCAAAAGTCACCAATAGAGCCCTATAGCAGCCTACCGAACCCCAAACCCATCCCCGATCACCCTGTGAGTACATTTCGGCAAGAACCCATCTAAGAGTCTTTATCGAATCCGAAACAGTAAATCAGTAGCTGCACAACTCCAACAACAACCGACCACGGCAATAATCTCTTTCAGAGCTGGGGTGGCAAAACACGCCGCCATTCTTCACTTGGGATGACTAAAGACTTGCTGCCCCTCACGTAGTAGATCACATCCACTAACTTTGCATCCTCCCAAAGGTCGCCCAGCTGCATTCTCTCGAACTCCTCGACGATGTTCAGGCCGGCAGTTGACTCAGCAGCAGGCTACAGACGGGATATTGATTTTGCATGCAAGACAGAAATGCAGTTCAGCTACAGGGGGATCAGATTTGGTGCTGGGGTCAGTCAACGAAGGCATAGTCTGGATGACTTTGCGGGCAAAGTGGAATGTGTACGTCCTTAGATTCAGTGCTTCTTCGAACAGGACTCGAGTCCTACACTCACATGACAGACAGACTACAACTCTTCAACGGAGCAATTGAGGATCCTGCTGTGTCGATTTCAAGGATCGAGTCCCTGTAAACCCAGCCCTGCCCTTTTTCGTCGGTCCACGAATAACAGTCTTCAACCGTGTCCGCCGCTGCATTTGAGCACGTGTTAACTTGCCAAGATCGAACTGTCGTATCGAAGAGGAGTTGCTCCATAAGCGTGTCCGTTTAGGAGACGGAGCCCCGAAATGTATCATCCAAAATGATTGGCTGAAAACCTTGGTGGGCAATCCATGGATCAGCAGCTATACATAGCTAAGCTACACGACACTAGAAGTCTGCAGCCCCTGTACAAATACACATCCGCTAGAGCTAGAATCTTGAAGCGCCTAGTGTCGTTGACCCTCCCCAGCCAACTCTCCACCAATTCCGAAAGTCGCTCATGTTCGAAGAGCAAGCTTCCTCGAGGCTGCTCGACAACCCAAGTTGCACCGACGGCCACGGTGAGTTGCAGCAGCAGAGCCAATCTTCAGGGGATGTACGGGTTACACATGATTCGGAAGCTCGCGCACACTTCTTGCCGGTAGCACAGACACGCATGAATATATACATGAAGGGGTGGTATTGTGGGTGTGTGAAAACCACAAATGTCTAGAGCAAATGATAGCTACACTCATGTGTATATAGGTACATGTGTATATATACATATGTACAGTTACATAGATGTATTGTTCATGTAGTGCCTCTGCACATATGTATACATACATCCACACATACATATGTATTACTTGTGTAGTGTTTTGCACATGTGTATGAATACATCCACACATACCTACAAACATGCATATACATACACTTATACATATACATACACATACACATCTATACATATACATACACATATACATACACATATACATTTACATACATGCATGCATGCACACATACATACATTACATTACATACATAGCAGGAAATATCAATGTGCAATTAAGTGCCTCAGTTGCATCTTAAAATCCTTCCCTACTTAAACTGCACTTGCATACCTACATGCAGACTGCCTGTCTACTTTAGAGTCATGCATACATCTGCACACACATGCAGACAGCTCTCTCTTTCGCACCGTCAACAATTGATGGAATTGTTGCCATGAAAACATTGTCCACGTACTCCACATATGCTGGGCTTGAGGGTTTGCTGAGGGATCATCAAGCTACATAATACTGCCACCTAACCTTGCATGTGACCCAAACTGGAAGCATCGCCACGATTCGGACCGTTAAGGAGGGCACTCAATGCGGTTGATCGAGTTGTTCAGCGAGGCTTTCGGGGCTGGTAATTTGTATAGTTGGTTACATATGTACTCGCGAGTGCTTGAGACATCCATTCGACCCTGGAAATATGTAAGCCTGGAAACATAAAACATGACATTGGCTCCCCAATGAACCCGAGAGCCTATCTAAAGTCCTGTGCAGCAATTATTGGAACGATGAATACCCGGAACAACAGATTGCCGATACACACAAAATCCAAAACACCCAAGATCCAAAACCAACAGAACAAAGGACCTGGCCATCACTAAACAATCCAACCCAACCGGACCACTTATGATTTCTCTCAAAGTGCAGTGCCTGCTTGCAAGAAGGTTGGCTGCCCTGACCTTTGGAAAGGAAGTATTTCCCATGGGTAGCAGAACCGATCTGCCAGTAGTGCTTCGGGAAATCGTCACAAAGGATGAGCAGCACATGGCAAAGAGTGCCAGGGAGGAATCAAAGCGTAGCCGGAGTACAAGAAGAACCAGCAGCCTCGGCTGTGGATGCAATATTGAATACACCTATCTGACCTCTCTAGGACCATCAGCAGCGAAGCTTCGCCGACACACCGTGATGTCACATTGAGTGCTGGCAAGAGACACAAAGCCTGACGGTGTTGTTAAGTCCATCCCCCCCTTTCTGAACGCATGGGCATCATAGGAAAGGTCAGCAGCTGCTGCATGGATATTGCATACACGACACGCCCGTGAAAACTCTGCATGCCCAGCAAAAGCTTCCACCACGTCGTACGACTTCCGGTCGAGTTCAGCAACAGTCAGCCAGGAGCACAACAGGACCAACATAACGAAAGCCTGAAGAGCATGGAACTGCATGGATACTCTCAGTGCACAAACTTGTGAAGCCAAGGATCCTTCGGCGACCCCAGCCGGATGAGCCTGGCGACCGCGGCGACCACTGCATCCATCTGGGACGGGTGGACCATCTTCAAGGCGCTGCAAGGTTTCGGGAAAAGCCTTCAAAGTGCCCAGCCCGGGTTAACCAGTCTTCCTAGTATAGACTTATCTAAATTGACAAGGTGTCATAGGGGGTATATAGAAGCGTTTCCAAAGGGTTGCATAGTAGATTACAGGATTTCTAGAAAGGGCTGATCTACAGCATTTGTACCTGGGGAATACACTTGGCGATGCTGTTGCTCAGTCGACCTGCATCTCTATCAAGTCTGCATGAGCCAGAAGAGCTGACCGACATGGTTTCGGAAGTTTGCACAACTTCAACTTCAGCAGCTGACTGCACACAACAGCAATGTCATCAGGGGGCTTCGAGCGGTTCTACTGTCGGGGCTGGTCTCTACGGCTCCACAGCTTGATCAAACCTTCATGCAGAGGATGGTGGCGGGCGGACCTTCTCCTCTGCTGTGGCCGAACTTGACGGCGTGCATGAGGAGCGGCATCGTGTTGACCTGGGAGAGAGATATATCCATATTTTCGGATTTTGGTAAGGGGTTCATCAAGAACGAAAGGGAATGTCAGCCGAAGCAGTTCTGGCCAGAATTGTTTTGCGCTGCGATCCGTCCCAATGCCCGATAAACCTGAAGAGTTGTACTCTGATGCAAACTGAATTTTCTGAGTGCTGCGTTGCCTTTGGCATATCGTAGCAGCTGGAATCACAACTGCATCTGCTCAAGAGTAGCTTTGAAGAAAAGCTGTAGCACCATATTGCAGCAGGACTATTGCCCGGCAAACTAGACCTCGGCCCTGTTAGCAAACTGATCCTTTATCCCTGCCAGCTTTGCTTCAAGTGCTGGCGTCATGTTGGCCTTCGCCTTCTCCACCAGGTCAGCCTCTCACACACAAGGGAGGAACTTTGTGAATTTAGTGGAATGCTGGGAATGTTTGAATGGCAATTGTAGAAACTTATGTATCGCTGATGTAGGCAAGAAGCTGCTCGTCTGATGAACTTCCAGATCGTTATCATCGCAGTGTGCTCGGGCACATCCTTGTAACACAAGTAGAGAACCTCAGCTTAGGGCTCGCATGGGGCACACAGGCTGATGCAGGGTTTCACCGAAAGCCGAAACGGTTTTGGGTTAGGTGTTGTTTGTCCCCCCACATTTCGGGATTTTACAGGGCTTACACATATCTATATATATATATACATGTGTATAGAGAGAGAGAAGGATAGGTATAGCTATGGGTGAATACATATATATATATATATAGAGAGAGAGAGAGAGGAGAGATAAATAAAGAGAGAGAAAGACAGGTAGATAGACAAACAACATACAGATAGATCAATATAGAAACACGTAAAGAACAAGGCTGTTAAAGATAGACAGATAGATAGATAGATAGATAGATAGATAGATAGATGGATCGATGTGTGCTTTTTGTTTACAGTTTGAGCCACGAAATGAAGTTGTTTCATCCTGTTATCTCCGGGTGGCTTGCTTTCCTCGGTCGTCGATGCTCCAGCAGTTGCGAAGCTTCACTCCCATTGCATTGCGACTTAAATAGATCGATGTCGACAAAGCAATACACCGGCATGTCCAACCCATCTCGGATGGCCTTGCGTGCAGCTTTCTTGTCGACGCCCGACCCATTGCCGTCCTTGGCAGCCACTGTGCCCCGAATCCCCGCGTTCGAGTCCTGGGCATCGTTCTTCCTGGACTTTTTCGGTTGTGACCCGGATGCCTGCTGTTGTCCCTTGGACTGGGTTAACTCGGCTTCCGGTACACTCTCCTTGGCAACCTTGCGCCTCTTGGCGGGCTGGGCTTCGGTCTCCGCCACAGCGGCTTCCGGTGCATTGTCCTGTGCAGCGGCTTTCTTGGCGGGCGCTTTGGCCGCCGCATTGGTCCTCCTGGCCTTGGCAGGCTGGGCTTCGGTCGACACGTCAGCTTCCACTGCTTGCTCCTTCCTAGCTTCCGAGTTTTGCTTCTTTGCAGCCTTGGTCCTCGTTTGTTTGGCCTCGGGGAGCTGGGCTTCGGTCACCTCGGCTGTCGATCCATTCTCCTTGGCACCCTTGGTCCCTTTGGGCTTGGGGGGCTGGGCTTCGGTCGCCTCTTTGGGTTTGGGGGGCTGGGCGGGTTCGGAAGCCTTGGTTTTCCTTGGCTTGGATGGCTTGGCTTTGGTTGGCTCGGCTGCTTCCGGTGCAATGTTCTGTTCGCCCTGCTCTCGTTCATCCGGGGTTTCGGTCGGCTTTGGCGTATCATGGCCCGTTTTGCCACGTCCTCTTCCACCTCCTCTGCCCCTTCCACGACCTCCCCGGCCGTGACCCGGTTTCTCATCCTCCTTGGCTTTGGTCTCTGTCAACATAGCATCCTGCTTTTCCTTTGTCAGAACTTCCCCGGCGGCTGCCTGTATAGGGAAGATGGCAACTTTAGCACAGAGCACAGATCCATGCACACACCAAACACGACTCGCAAAGCTGAGCACATAATATTAATAAAGAAACAAGTGTTCGTGTTTCTAAGCCCCCTACCTTTATGTTGTAACTCTGCACAAGTTCAGCGATCTTTCGTGATCTTGGCAGCTCAACCCCACGTGACGTTGACACTTCGGAATCCTTTGCATCCTCAAGTTCAGCCAACCTCTTCGGGGGCAAAACCGAAGCTTCTGAAGTCACGACTGCTTGCAGGTCCACCGGCTCTGGATCCACCTGGTTCGGGACCTCCTCCCAGCTCTGAGCCGCTGCATCGATGTCGAAAGCTTGGGTCTCCACGCGACCTGGGCATTGGCTGCATTACGTGTTTGGGAAGGGGCTCACGTTCAGGGTTTCGGGTTTGGAAGGAGGATTAACTATAGGTTTCTAGGTGCGAGGGATGCATACCTCTGTTGTTGCGTGCAGTCTGGGGCTACAAGGAGGCACGAAGTGGTTGTAGGTAGGGTTGCAACTACTATGTTGAATTCACACAGGGCTAGGCTGGGCCTATATATAGAGTTTAAATTAAAGGGTTTTGTGCGAGGTACGCATGAGTTTCAAGTGTCGGAATTAAGGGGTTCAGGGCTGCAGAATTAAGATGAGTGCGCAGGAGTGCGTAATTGACATATTGTGACGAATTTCAAGAGCCTCTGGGTTTCGGTCGTCGAGTCGGTAGCTTCTGAGTTTATCTTAGAACCCGGAGTAGGCCCTTATTTCCTTTTTTAGGGTTGGGGCTCCCTTATAATCCCCTTAAAACCAAAAAGGGCACCCTTTTCATTCCTAGGTTACTCCTGGGTCTAGTAGAGTAGAATCTGGAGGGCTGCAAGACAACAGCGACATCCCTGTGGCCAGAAGCGAGCTCGAACAAGAAGTACTTTTACACCAAGCGGCTGGGATCATCGTGAGGGGGACCACCACGACGGAAGCTGGTCTTGTTGACATTCTCCTTCTTTTGCTTCCTGGGCGAAAGACATGTGATTGAACATGTATACACACACGTATGCTCGTGTCAGAATGCATACAAAGGCTCAGTTCCAACAGTTTGCGCTTGAGGCTTTGCAGACGCTCTTCACGTGACACAGGTAGCCCAGCTCGGACTGGTGTGGGAATAGGTCGCCTAGGCCTAGGGACCTCTTCATCGTCCGAACAAACAATCAACTCAGGTTGCGCAGATGCTTCAGCCATCGACGTCAGGACAGCACTGTTGCCAGCTATGAGCCCCGAGACCTCTGCAGGTTGCTTTGCACTGGAATCCTGATTCTCAGCGTGCCCCGAGACCTCTGCTATAGGTTGCTTTGCATTGGAATCCTCATTCTCAGCAGCCCCTGCACTGCCTGCGTGGGCGACCTCTGCTACAGTTTGCTTTGCATTGGCATCCTCACTCTCAGCAGCCCCTGCATTGCCTGCGTGGACGACCTCTGCTGTAAGTTGCTTTGCACTGGAATCCTCATTCACAGCCGAACTGGAACCATCGGGTGCCCCCGAAACCTCAAGCTCTGCTTCATCCTGCTCATCTAGTCGACCATTTATGAAAGGCACAACGTCCTCCCCTAGATCATCATTCGGGGACTCTGGCTCGTAGTCCTCATCATCTTGTTCGAGTGCATCAGCTGCACCATCCTGCATGAACCGTAAGAGAGGCAGAGGGTCACTACGGGTTTTTTAGGGAAAACTATATCTCCTGAAGATACCTAGCTACAGTCCTTTTCGTCGTCACTGTGCAACTCGTCCACACGGTCAGGGTACCACGACTCAAGCAGGATTTTCTTCAGCTTCCGGTTGTTCGGGTCCTTAGTTGGATGCTTAGGGCTTCGAGGGGGGGGGTATATATTCATGCACAATATAACGATGCACTTGCTCAGCCTAGAGTCACGTGGCTTGGTGGTTTGCGCCAAACGCTTTATGAAGAACGAAAGGAACTTGCGAAGCCCCCATGCGTCGCATTGAACCTCTCCCTTGGTGGATTTCTGGCCGACGAGCTCCCAAACCTTTTTCACCTGGCGGGGATGTTTCAAGGTCAAGTGCTATATAAGCCTATCAAGTTGGATGTAGAAACGGAGCAATCAAAACCCCCGGCCTCTCCGAGCAAAGAAGTTACTTTTGGTGTCTTTGGAGATGTCATGCTTGCCGCCCACATACGGAACAGGGGTTCCAAGGTGTTAAAGTTTAGCGAGGCACTTTGGTACGAAGGAACACCAGTAAGTTCAGGCCTGGGCCACTTTAGCAAGAAGCTGTCCAGCAACAAGCGACGTCGGGTAAGCTGGCATGCCTCCCATTTGGAAGCCAAGCCCTCCAAGGCCTCCTTTTCCTGGGCCCTCCGAGCCATGGTGCACAGCCCTCATAAGAAGACTATATAAAAGTCTAAACAAAATCGCTTGCAGAGCCCATGCACAGCGGTTCAATGGCAACTTCAGGGGTTTATGTAGGCCATGCATGCAGCGCACTGCGAAGGACCTGTGAAGCTGCACTGCGCTGGATCTGGGGCTGATGCAGATTCGCAGAGTGAAGACGAAGCGACCAGGCAGCACCTGCGCACTGAAAGCACACGCACAAAACAACACCATGCAATGCAGCCGGAAGCACACACCCATATGTAAACTTTCACTTCGCTCGCAGCACTGCATGTTGAACCTGTTCCGATGCCGACATCTTGCCAAATGGTATATGCTCACATGTCCCAGTAGAAGCTGAAATGTATGATATTTAGCACTGCTTCCTGCAAGACATCCAGCAGACTCCAACTCCTAGCCCTCGCGGCTCTGACTTCCATCAGGTTCTGCGCGGCCAGCTTGACCATCTGAGCCGAGGGTTTCCTAAGGAAGAGGGCAGCTAGCATGCTAATTGCCAAACATGAATCAATCGATTGTTGCTAGCTGCTGGCCCCTCTCCATTTCAAGACAGGGCACTGCTGACGAGCCCTCACTGAGGGATCCTGGTTCATGGAAGAACAGATCGAAAAGGTTTGGGGCCCGAGTCGGGGTGCAGGGCTTCAAGTTCGGGGCTCGGGCTTATACAGGAAACGGGGGTTGGGGACCGGATGAACATTGAATGCAGCTCGCAAAGGCTTCCAGTGGAAGGCTTGTGTATATATATTTTTTATGTATATATGTATATGCTTGAAGAATCTACAGGTCCTGTGCGATATGACTGAGCAAGATCCCGCGCATAGCCGCCGATGGCATAGTTCAACACCACCGTCTTGGCCATGCTCGGCACAACATTGGAGCCCTCCTGGGAGACACATTGGGGCTGCTGAATACCCCGGCTGGGCTAACAAAGTGATGGGTCCAAGAAGTCCTGCCACCCTGGCACTAGCACATAGAAGGCTTTCGTCCAGAACTCAAGCGGCATATCACTCAGACCTGCATCGGATGGTTTTGGGATCTGCTAACAGAACTATGAGAACAAGCAAGCTTTCTTGACACTACAGTACATGCAGGCCTTCATCCGTGATCTGCCTCCGGAGGCTCATGTCAAGGTCATTCCACCAAATACTCATGAGTATGAGGCCAAAAGGAGGTAACCCGAATCAAATCCTTCAAAGCTTATGGCTGCAGCACTCCAGCAACAAAGTTGCGTTCAAGAGCAGGCGCATGCGTCGCATCATGGGTGCACAAGCAGTTGTGAATGCACGACCAACATCAGGATGGAAGCAAACGGGGAGGATGGCGGCACCTCTAAAGCGAAGCCAAAGGCACACAGCCATCGGCCAACCATGCGACAGCACAGCTCTGCAGCATATCGATCTAAGACCCCTATGGTAAATCACAAGCGAGCCCTTCTTGCAAGGCAGCTTCTGAATCTCTGAAATCTAGCATCTGAAGGACCCCTGAATTAGAAACGGACCTGTCGTCATCGACTCGTGCTGAATCGGCCCTCTCTGAACCATTCTCAGCTGGATTCGAGATATAAAGCCAATTTCGGGCACAGGTCTATTTTATGCTATGAGACCGAATGAGAGGTTGGGGAAAGAGCGATTCGGACAGGTCCAAATAAAAGGGCTCGCGGGGAACACCAGGTTTAACATAAATTTCATACATTGGGCGTTTGCAGGCGCTCCTCACAGGCTCACACACAGGACGCGAACTTCAGCTCGGAGGTGAGGATATAGTCCCTGATCCACATTTTGATTTCAACAAGTGAAGAGGACACTGTAGCAGACAAATAGAACTCCCCTCCTGTCGTGATATTCCAACACAAACTAAAACCTGGATACATATCACTGATGTGATGGTATGTGTTTATGCTATGTGTCAAAAAGCCGTTGGTTTTCACGTGGAGTTTGTTATTCCCTGTTATTCCCAACAGACTGATTTGTTATTCAGTTTTTGTATCTGTAATAACCAGCTATCTCGACTCCGAATACATTTTACATCACATACAGTTTATGATCATCTCCTTGCAAAGCTCGAGAGAGCATACAAATACAAATTCATCCAAGCTTATATACGGTGAAAAACATTCGGGTATTTCTGAAACATGGTATAATACCCATCTTCCATCCGTTGACAAGCCACTATGTAGCACGCAAATATGATTAGCAATCGACGTGCTTGTCATACGAATTTTGTAACTTTAAGACCAGCTATGTATTGAAAAAGCGTTTCCTGAAAAGTTGCATGAACTAAACTAACCTTCACATTTTGTTCCAATAACAATATAGCAAATGTAGCGAGAATTTACAGTAGCTAATTAGTTCCCAACTCAATCTGCCAGCTATCGACAACGGTGCCTTTTACTAAGGAAATAACAATAGACTGCGATTACAGTATCGTTAAATACGACGTCATAACATGTCATCACATGATCCGAACATAATACAAGCGAGCACAGTGCATATAAATGCAACACCTAAAGGACAGGAAACGAATATTCGGTTTAGTATCACTGAACTATTAACTAACTTGAACTACGCAGTAAGCGCAGACTGGCGAGGTATCATTTAGGCACCAACCCGGGGGCTCCGAGTCTGTATATGCGGCCTACGTATAAATGCCATCCCGTTTGCGCAACTTACGTATGTTGCTGCAGTTGCCCTACGTTACGCACCCTATATGTGTATGTTAGTCCATTTGGCCTACGTTACGCACCCACCCCCCTGGACCCCTCTATATATATAGGGATTCTGATTGATGTTCGGGATAGTGCCCCTAAACTCCCTAATCTCCTTAAAGTCTGCGATTGGAAGTGCGACTTGGCACACATGTCGACCGGGCCCAGGTGGTTCCATCCATGAAATCAGGGGGTTTGCGAAGATTCGGACATATAGTTGCAGCAGCTTTTAAGATCTCGGTAGTGCACGACGACACGCATGCACAACATGCACAGCTGATAGTTGCATTGCTTCGATCCCTGCAATGGTATGCAACGTGGTGCATTGCGGCGTCCGCTTCCTAGCTCGGTATAGCCCGGTAGTGCGTGGCCATGATCACTCATATACTCTGATATATCATGTATATGTGACATGTTGGTGTGTTGAGGTCTGCTGGACGAGTTTCCAAACGAGACGCCTGGGATAGGGCTGGGGCCGAGATCAAGGTCCCCACGGCGTGTTGCAGCTGCTGGCTTCGATGGTTCCCCTTTGGATTCCGATGATATCGATAATTCTCCGGATGACCCGGCTTGGCAGTGCAGCGGTGCGACCCCACTGCCCACCCTCTCTGCTGTGAAGTGTGCATGTGCTGCATGCTCACTCCATGATCTGTGCTTGTAATCATGATTCGAACATGTCGCTGTGGATGCTTAATGTGAATCTCCGAAAGCTGTTTCAATAAATTTTGATCCGGCCCGCATTTTGCGATTTGGACCGGTGGCGGCTTGACAGGCGCATGTATATGAGGCACATATATTAATGTACTAGTACTGGGAAAATCAGACCTGCAGGTCATGACTTTATTGGCCGAGGAGAAGCAGCTGCAAAAGCTCATCCTCGAGGACCGTGTGTGTGTCGGTTTTCGAAGAAAACGGGTACCATGAATAAATCGAAAGGATTTCCTCAATGAGTGGCTCACTGCCGACCCCAACCGGTTGCCCAGCATCCGCAAGGCATGGTTGCACAGTATAATTATAATAATGCTTAAAGTTGCTATCACATATCTGTGTGGCTCAGGCCAAGTGCATCTTGGGAATGGTGAAGCAGGGAGCGGACAGCACGGAGATGGTGGGCTGAATGAGTGTACATGCATGTACATGTGTACATATACCCCGATGATGCATGTGCTGGCCCCTGCCAGTTGTTGCAGCACTACGCTTTCTGGTGTGGTTACTACGGGTCACTGGGAGCGACGGTGCCACTACTTTCTGTTCATCAGGCCAAGCCCGTGCAATGCAGATGAAGACATGTAGCTGCAGTCAGGGTTTGGGGTTAAAACCCAAATTAATTACGTGCAATAGATAGACTGCAGGAAGTGATTATGGTGCTCGCCAAACGATATTGCCTGCTTGGCACCAGCTGCAAGGCTAAGATGCTGAAGGAGACCTAGCAGTCAAGTCTCGGTTTTTTGTCTCTTTGCAATCCAGTAGTGTGCGGAGTGAGATCGCAAGCGCCACTAGGAGTGGGCCAATGGGGAAGCTGCAGTTATGCGCACTGCTGCTTGCCACGGACTGTTCTTGAGCAAACGGTCGAAAGGTGCTAAGAAGCTCGGCTTTAAAAAGGTTTCGTGAGCCAGCTTTAAACTTTATTAGTCGTATCCTACGATGTTCCAAGGATCCCTCAGATCATGTCGCTGAAGGCTATGATCCGGGCCGTTGCCGAGGCAAATACAGGTGCCACGTGCAAGCTAGACCGGTTGATCACTGCAGTTCGCACGTACATGTATTTTAAGAGATACACACCTTTAGGTCCGGAGGGCATCGATGACATGATTGAGAATGCCTACGAGAATGCAGTAACTGCTGAGGACAACGGCAGTGTGGAAACTTAGCTGCAAGGTTGCTGCCAACTCTGGATGCCGAGCTGGGGGTATCGTGGGACTGACACGTACTAGCTAGAACGGCTTCTTAAGACTAAGCTTGTTTCGCCGAGGATACTGGCTCGAGCTATATGTCCATGTCTCCGGGCAAGATCGCCGAGGCGCTGGGCTTCCGAAATCTGCATGCATACATTCCAGATCAGAAAAAACGAATTAATATAAGCTAATAGGAGCAAACCCTGCCAGCCCAAAACATAGCAAATCACACCCCTTGGCCACCAGTCCACCAGAGCTTATAATCCAATAATGCATTCCCCCTAAACCCTAAACCCTAAGCCCTAATAAACCCTAAACCCTAAACCCCTTGGCCACCAGTCCACCAGAGCTTATAATCCAATAATGCATTCTAACCCCTAATATTATCATAGCCTCGAAGCAGATAATTTAAAGAGTTATATATGTAGTTGTGGGTGTATACCTGCTGCAGGGTATATATGTATATATATGTACAATAGAATTTTGCAACAGTACGTATAAGTAGTATAGTATATATATATATATATATTATAGTAGTAGTCGTAGTAGTAGTAGTAGTAGTATAGTAGTAGTAGTAGTAGTAGTAGTAGTAGTAGCAGTAGCAGCAGCAGCTAGTAGTAGTATTAGGGTTTATCAGGGTTTAGGGTTTAGGGTTTAGGATCGTATATTAATAATAGTACAACCGATAAGAGGATTCGAATTGCAGCATCGACTACTATATACCTAGGCTATATAATCTAATAAACAATTCATCAAACTCGTCGATCTTCATGTGCTATGTGGGGTCTCGTCAGATCATCCACATTACTCGCGATCGCTATCTAAAATTAGATCTATCTAGACAGCAAAACAAATATTACATATAGACCCTTTACTGTAATAGTTTTATAATGAACCCCCAAAAACCCCGACACCCATCATTGCCCATCAGGCCGACGGAGAGGTGATGATGGAGACGCCTGCCAAGCTGCAGGTGCTCACAAGCCGTGCTCGGGTTGCAGTTCTCGTTTTAAAGTGATCATTAATGTTCGAAGGATGGGGACATGGATCTGGATAACTTCGAGCCGTTGCCGCTTTTGTTGGCCGAGCCTGTGGTTGCCCGCCTAGATATGAGTCGTGATATGATTGTCCACATGCAATCTAATGTGATGAGTAGTTTTTCTGCATGTCGCCCAAAGCTACCCTAGGCTGACCCTCAGCCCGCTCCGGAGAATGTGGACCCCTCGACTTGGGAGACTCAGCCCATAGACGTGACGGCCCTGCTTAGCATCAATGTACAGAATGTGACTTCAAAAGTCCAGAGCTTCGCCCCAGCCCCGACCGAGCCTCAGCTTCCGGAAGATCGCCGTCAGGCAGCGCAGGCCGGGCCTGCATATATATGGGATCGGTAATATATATATATATATATATATATAGTTCGAATACTATATATATATATATATATATATATGTATTAAATATGTGTCGTCGGGGCTTTACGGCTTCGTGGGTCTACCTCAATGGTTGCGAGGATCCCAGTTGTTCCCTTAATCTCGTGTCGGTTTTACAATCCTGTTCGAATAACCCGGGGCCCTCGCATAATTCTGAGCCAAGAAAAACACCCTAACATGTCCCCATCTATTCTCTATCTACTTGCTCCCGTCATCTTGTAAAATTGTTGCTGGTCTTACAAGCCCGCTCAAATAACCCTTCAACTTCGTGAGCCCAAAAAAGCCACCTAATATGTCCATCGACTCTATTAACCCCCTATATTAAATAATTGTACGTATATATGGGCTATATATAGTGTAAAATTATGATAACCCTAGACACCCTAATTAACACGGTTGAGGGTTTAGGGGTTCAGGGTTTAGGGTTTATAAGGGTTTAGGGGTTAATTAGGGTTTAGGGAATTAAGCCGAATTTAAATGCGACCCGAGGAGAAACGGGCTCCTGTGCATGTCCGACCTGCGGACATGCCGGAGCAGCTCGTGCAGCAGGCCGAATTGCAATCACAGCTTTTGGCGCAGGAAGGTGCTGAAGCAGGCGATTTGGTAGAGGCACAGCGACGGGCTGTTTGGCTTTAACTAGTGTGTGTATGCTGCATTGATGGCCACCGGCACAACTATGATCATGAGAGATATAAGCTGAGGTTGCTGCTGCAGCCAAAGCAACAGCAGCAGCAAAAGCAGCTGCCAAAAAGGCAAAGAAGGAATCCAACAAGGCCAGCAAAGAGGCCAAGAAAAAAACCGCCCCCGCAGTTGTGAAGGACATGGCAACAAAGGCAGCAGGGCCGAGGGGCAAGAAGCAAGCAGCAGCTGCTGCAACAGCAGAGGCTGCCCCGGCTGGGGAGGTCAAAGGAAAGGGAAAGGACACCGCAACAGATGATGCAGTGCGTTGGGAGCAGGTTGCAGCTTACTTTCAATTGTGATACTTACACATAACTGCTGCTACTACCTATGCAAAATTTAAGGTCCCGGAGCTCAAGCGAGCGAACATCGAGGTGCCGCCTGGCTTTCAGGGTGAGCGCCGGTCGTTCACAGCAACGATCCCCGGCTGTGACTCCCGTGCAACTGTTCTGTGGTACGATGCAAGTATATATGTGAAGAAATCCCGGGGATTGCAAGAGCCAGAGATCAAGATCGACCAGAAGGGGGGCTCCACGATGAGTGTCCGCAAGCATGGCGGCTGGACAGCTGCCTGGAAGCTGGCCCAGAAGTGTGGCCGAGCACTCTGAAGGATCCTAGCCATCATGATCAAGATAAGTCCTAATGGTGATTATGATGCAACATTATACATGTTTGGACCCTGCATCCAATGCTATTATCTCAGGACATGACTTCGATGTCATGATCATGATCTTAGACATCCAGACCGATGTGTTCGGATGATTCATTGCCGCCCTTTACTAGGACCCGCTGCACACTATATTTGCAATGAGCATAACAAATGTTTTATAGTATGTGCCGACTGCAGGAGGGCCTGGGGTGATCACGGGGCCTTGATCTATTGTGAGCCTCTAGACTGCAATGTACATTAAGATCCGTTGTGCACTCACAGTCATGAATCGGCATCAAATACGCATGTGTCTAGCTGCTATAAGGTTCAATTCCGAAATCTCGTCGACCGACGACATCGACATCGATGCAATCAGCATTGATCCGCTGGTGTGATGAAATGATCAGGAGAGCATGCCTGCATTATGTCAGTGTGAGCTGTAAATGGTGATCCCTAATTTAAGCCTATAATAACCCAAACCCTAATTTAGGGCTATATATATAACCCTTAACCTAAACCCTGAATAGGCCTAGACTCGAACATGTGAGCTGCAGCACATGTCTGTGCAAGTTGTGCACCTGGGTGCACCATGTACGCTGCAGGTGTGTTCGAAGTTATAGGCAGCATATGCATGTGCCGTTCATATCATGTACATGCACTAGCTGGCTATATGCACGATAAAATTTTAAAGGGGGTCTAGGGTTTTTCGACTTCACTACGTACTTACAGTGGTCTGGCCTCCTGGTCATCGATCATGCACATGGTTCCCCCGCCGCACTCGCCGCCTGTATACCTGAGCGGCAGAAGAGCTCAGATGTTGCTTTCAATGGGTGTCCCGCTTGTTGTGTACTGTGTCCGCAAATCAGAAATTGAGTTGGGGTGGCCTTTTCTGACGATCGGCTTCGAGGTTGTTTTGTTTAGACGGTTGCTGCTTCTGCCAAGGCTGAGCATGTGCGACTACGTCACCCAGACCAACATCGCGGCCATGGATGTTAATGGTCGTGCACTGTGGCGCCGCGATCTCGACGTGTTGGAGCTTTATTCTGGAAGCTGTAAGCTATCTAGATGTTTCAGGGACCACGGCTATAAAGCGCAGCTTCGAAGCAGCTAGGATTCGGATCCGGACTTGAAAGCTAGAGGGAGTTACATGGCATGGTCATGATCATGATGTGTTCACCATCCCAGGCAGACCTATGACGTTGTCCTCCGAAGCTCGAACGACATCTCGACGCCATTAGGCTTTGCCACGGCCGTAGCTTGGGTTAATACATTAAAATTATTACAGATGGAAGTTAAGTGTTCATAAGGGGTTGGATATTAAAGCATTGTATAATTATACCTTTAGGATAGGGGTGCTTGTACATACGTGGGCCTTTGTGTGTAGACGGTGAATAATTATAACTATAGCTATAGCTAGTAGTATTCTAGATGTACTTTTTTGGGCAATATATGGGGATTTCACCTTCAGCACTTATTAATAATGCTTCTGTACATATCTAGATCCAGACTCTCCCTGGAGGCCTACGTAATACCTAATAAAGCAAACCCACACACCCCCTAAGTTACCCTAAGTGTCAGAACCAATCAACATTTTTTTGCAATCGTACACCAGGATCAATACACGATTCTGCTAGTGCCCGCAGCCAGAAGCTTTCTTTTCATTGTACCGAGAATGTCACCTATACTTAATATACTTATATATATAATATATATATTATATATATAAGTATATTAAGTATAGGTGACATTCTCGGTACATATATATATATATATAACTTTAAGTAGGGATCCTGATCAGGTTGTTACAAACTCTTATAAGCTAGGCACACATGGGCCAGACCTGGTAAAGGTTCAATGCACCGATCACAATCCGAATCGTGAACCCGACGTATAGCTACTGCAAACCCACAATATTTGGACAGTGCCTGCATGCACTAGAAACCATCGTGAGCCCGACTCTATATAGCTACTGTAAACCCACAAACCCGTTGGCATCATATGTGGCCGATATCTACAGATTATTTTTCCTAGATGCCCTGAGCCACCCGTACATAAACACCCACCCACAAAACAAGAAACCCCAAACCTAAACACCCCAAGCAACCCTTAAAACCACAATAGGCCATAAAGCCGACTTCAACCCTAGTCCCCCAAAACCATATTTCCGCCGTGGCCCCAGGTCCGTGACGTGATGCGCCTCAAGCCGAAAACTTCGCTGCTTTGGGCAGGAGTGCCCTGCAGCATGTTGCTTGGCTTTGCAGGTTTGTTGCGATGATTCGCATGATCGTGAGTACTTTCCATGATGGCACACAGGTGGATCTTTATGTCGTGCAGCGTGCACAAGCGCAAGAAGCATGATGGGGCATATGGCAACATGTCGTTGCGATCTGTCTGTACGGCAAACATGATAGCTGCACGAACAGCTATACTGCTGCTACTGGCGGCGGTTTTGGATGTGCCCTGGTGTGCCACTGTGCAGCAGTGTGACATGGGCTTGATCATGATAGGTGTGTGTGTGTGTGTATTTAGCCTGCAACTAAGGTAGAGCAACCTGGCAGCTCACTGTTGAAAGACTTCAAGCCATTCCTGTATGCTCTTCAACAAATGCCTTTTGTTTTCTACAAACACTTCTACCTCGGCTGCTATGGCCACTTTGCGATGAAAAAGACTTGGCTTCTGGGCTCTCACAATCATGATTGCAATATCCCTGTACATGAAGATAAAAGCAGCCACCCATGTTTCGCCTGTCCAGCCCCATAATCCAAGGCTGCTGGGAACTGCCGAACTTATTCGACGGTTCGATCGAAGGATGACCAGTGATTTACGCAAGAAGCTGAAGAAGCAGCAAGCAGCTACAGGAAGCAAGTTGGTGAAACGAGGTGTGAATGCTAACGGAAAGAAAACTGTTACTGCACAGCCGGCTTTGAAGTGGAGTATGCATTACCCGAGTGAGTTTTGTTCGACGGTGGTGCAGTTCTTCCAAGAAGCCAATGCACCCTTGCTGAATAGGCCTGTAGATCTAGATCTGGATTGCAGCTGAGCCACCGCAGCACGGATAGTGCAGCCCAGGCAGAGCAGGAGGACCAGATCGTCGTGACGGTCGAGACAGGGGATCCAGATGTGCTCCAGTTCGACGACACCGTGCCTGGGCTGGCCACAGGTCCACATCCAATCCCCGGGTTTAGGGTTGAGGGCTTTAAATTTAATTAGGGTTTAGGGTTTGTTTCGGGTACTGCTGGTCTTTGATTTGTTCGATCGAACTTGGGAAAGCAACTCATGTTGCTGTAACCTTATCTGGGACAAGGGTGTGTACTAATATTATATAAATAATATATAAGTTATACTAACTAATATATACTAGATAGCAGTATATTATACAACCCTCATGGATCCTTCATCATGATCATAACGAGAATAACACTAACACTATATATATATATATATGTTTTTGTTAATTACATGCATATATATATATATAAGAATATCATTCGTATATATATATATATACATATATATATATATATATACATGTACATGGCTAGATATAGTAATATATATTAAAACTCAGCTCACGGAAAACCGGAGGCCCTTCTTAAAGCTTGAGCAACATCTCCTATGTTGTCCCCCAAAGACTAGTATCCTAGCTACAGAGCAGAGCGCTAGCATCTCCTACAATCGTAAATAAGTGACCCGATATAGCTTGTACAGTCAAGGGGTTCTCGGGTCGAAGCTTGATGTGCCGTCGTTTACTTCGAAAGCCCTTCAAGTACCCCCAACGACAGCATGCTTGGAACTGCTTCGAAGCTGTCAAATTGCTAGCCCTACCCATTGAATCTTAAATGCAATTAATAGCATCCATTGGAGTTGTCACCTAGCCCGGTTCCTGTGTCCCTTCTAAACCCTGATCTTAACCCGCTATTTAAAACCCTGAACACCCTAAACCCTGAAGCCCGAAAAGTCCTATAGCTAGAATCCTGGATCATCACGCTAGCAGGAGAACCCTCAACTTATCGCGGGAATTATAACTGGTGTGCTGTGGTACATGGCTTCGATACACAAGAATTTATAATAAATTCTTGTGTATCGAAGCTATGTACCACAGCATATTCATCCAAGGTGGGATCTGACTGGAGCTGTGCCGAGCTGTCTCAGCTCTACGTCTTCCTTCGCCAAGAGGCTGAGCTGGGCAGGTGGAAGCCAACACTATTCAGTGACTTAGTAGGCCCGTAGGCTAGTGGCACTTATGGAAATATTCGGCTATCCTTCGATATCGGTTTGGTCTCGGGTGCTGCAATTTTGAAGCTGTGAAGGCCTCGTACATGGCTTGCTCTCGCTGCGATGCTAAACATTCATGAGACTGGCAAGGGTTTAGGGCTGGGGGTTCTATAGAGGTCGAGTACTAGCACTAGCATGTATATGTGCATGCATCATGTGTATACACCATGTCAGGTCCCTAAACCCTAAACCCTAACCCCAATTAGGGTCCCTTTTGGGGTACTTATAAGTCTACTTATTGCCTTACTATAAGTCTCCCGACCCTCCAAGTATATGATATGTATAGATGACGTATGGATGGATGCATGCATGTATACATGTATTGTGTACATGTGCACAACACATGTGTTCTTTGCATGTACAAATTACAACGCAAACCTGTACCGTCTTGGGGTGTATATAGTACATGCATATATGCTATTATATATATATATGTATGTGTATATATATAAGTGTATATATATATACATGTATATATATATATACATATATACATATACACATATATATACATATATACTCGTGCTTCACGGGCTCTCGTTGATCTTCGATCATAATTCCTAGATCTACAATTATATAGATCATGATGACCCTAAACCCTCGTAAACCCTAAACCCTATATATTATAAACTTCTAATTATGCTACGACATATAGCGGGGATTCTGCAACCAG